CACCCAGCATCCGTGTCTGCATTGGGAGCACAAGAAGTGGCACACACACACATAATTGTACGTGTGGTGTGTGGGTGGGTGCATTATGAGATTTATGCGCAGTGACAGGAAGGCTGTTGATTAATTGAACTTTAATGAAAAGATTTATGTGGTTGCATTATTAAAAGCCACCGGGGAGACAGAGCCGAGCCACTGGAGAGCTGCATACAGGTTATGGCCATTGGGCTAATTGCTTGGTATTGGTTTTAATTGCATTTGTGTCCTGGTGACAGCAGGCTTTAAGAAATGGTTAGCTATGCAAAGCCATATGCTCGAGGCTCCCAAAAACACAGATAAAACTGATTGATAATTTTCGTTCAAGGTCCCAATTATCTGAATTCTGACGCAAAAACAGCTTCCATTTATCATCGAAACTGGCAAATGTCATTAGTATTCAAAGACCGCTGGGGAAATGCATCCTCATCTCGGTCGTATATCATTCGAGCTCAAATGGATAACTCATTATAAGAGCCTGCTCCACATTAAACAATGACTTACTTAAGACTTGACGCTCGCACATCGAACTAATTGATATTCTCCAGCGATTATCGTTTTCAAATTTATGCCACAATATGTGAAATATTTCTTTTGCTTTATTGTGTCGCGCCAGCAACGCTTCATTGTTTCTTCAACAAATTGCAATTGCAGCGGATTGTGAATATTAATTCTCCAAGCCGCTGACGTAGACATTGTGGTTGCTATATTTGTTATTGGTGTTGCTGTGGCTATTGGTATTGCTGTTGTTGTGGTTTTGTGTTGCTGCTGCTGCTGTTGACGGCACGGGTCTGGTGGCATCGGGTTTGGTGGCATGTCTGTTTGCTGTTGTTGCAGCTACTTAAGCGTCGCATCTGACAACTGGAACAATGCACTTTCAAATGATAATTGTTACAACTTTTATTGCTGATAGTGCAGCAGCAACTGTTGCCACTGTTGCTACTGCCGCTGCCGGTCGGTGTGATTGTGATTGCGATTGTGCTTGTTGTTGCTGCCGCTGTTTCTGTTGCGGCGACAACGTTTGCCGACTGGCTGGTTTGCGGTTGTTATTATTATGATTATTGCATTGTTATTGGCCTTTTATTGCATCTGCCAACGTTTTTGTGTCTTGGCAGCTCCAGGCAAAAGACTTGGGGATATGCAAAAGTAGAGCTGCCATTAGTGTCATTTCGCCAATTGTTTACGTGGTAACACTGTGGAAAAATATTTTAAATAAATATAAGCTGTAACCTTACAAAAATAATAGCAAATACATAGAAAAACGATCATTAAATGGAAAAAATGCAGAAGCCTTTTAGGATTATTTTTTATAAGAATGTATTTCAAATATTCCGAATGAAATAAAATCTGAAATGAATATCCAAAATATTAATTAAACCACACAAGTCGTCTAAAAAAGTAGTCCTTCTGGTATCGCAAAAACCCCTATCAGATTGACCATGATATTATTTCCTTTTGTAAACACTGTGCAGCAATTTTAATGATGAACTTTTTGTTTGCCATTTGATTTTGCGCATTTTTTCGGGTGGACTTCGTTTTGGCCAGAGGTGGGAGCACCGTTTGTTGTTCTTTGGATGTTGTCGACCGACATTGTTGCGATATTGTCAGCGCATGTAGGAACACAAACAACGGCATTTTGTTTGCACAAGCGTGCCGGGCCAAACCTATCCGATGGGTTGTTGGGAGTTTGGTTTGGGTGTAGGCCAAAAGGGGGAGGCGGGATCATGGCCCTATCAGGAGACGAGGCCGCCACCCGCCCTGCCGCTTAGCCGAAACGTGGCACTTGGACACGATTTTTGCTTTGCCCAGAGCTTATATGTTTGTATTTTACCAGAGTGTGTCTGGTTTTTATTTTGTCAAACTTTTTTGGCTGTCCACTTTTATTGTTTTGTGGTCTGCATATTATATTTGGTCATTTCTTGTTTTACCAATTTCATTTTTGATTTTTTGGTTGCTCATATTCGATATTCGATTTTATTTATTACCGCTGTTTTGACCATTTTGGGTTTGTTGGTTATTATAAATAAAATGTTTGGGAATTATGTGAGTTCAACTCAAAAGCAAAAGTCATTTGAAAAGCGTTACGAGTTGAAGGCTCTCCTTTACTGAAACTTTTTTAATATATTTTGTCCAAACTTTAAAAGACCGCAACAAATGATTGGATTTTTATGATGGAATCTTATGCACATCGAATAAATCAAATAGGACAGATGTATGTTATTGCCGCTTGACTTTGATGGGCTCTTGATGATCTCACTGGTTTCATGAAAACTTCATTAAAACGCTTTGGATTATTCACATTTATTGTGGTCTTCGGAAATTTTGGCATTCCTGGCGAACCATCTTGATAGCAGATCTCATTATTTCCATGCAATTTTGTTGGCTTCTATCTGGAGGCGATAATCAGCTTTGGTAACTTGTTTAGCATACGCAATTATATACCAAATTATATCTGAATATGTAAATAGTTGTATATGTTTGATATTTTAGCTGAATAATTTCGCATTCATGGCTGGCAAGCTCTGGCTTGGCTAATTGACACTTAACATGGCTTGGAGTATTTTGAAGTTAATTGTGTGTCGACGTCAACGATGGCCCCTGCCTCCTGCTCCTGCTGCCTCCTTCCAACCCCATACACATGTTGATTTACCGAATTTTGTGGGCTTGTTTATATTTAAATTGCCTTGTAGTTTGTTTAGTGTTTGTCCGTTGCAGTCTGTTTTCGTATTTTATTGCAGGCGATAGGTATTCCATAGATACACCTGCTACTACACAACATTCTGACAAAATACACCTCCAATAAACAAAAATAAGCCCTTTTCAAATGGGTGTAGTTTCAATTAAAATTTCTATTTATTTAAAAATTATTAAAAAAGTTATATATGTAGAACAAATCCGAATTTTTTAATTAAAAGACAAAGTTTGGCTTCATTTTGATTAAATCAATGCTTCGAAAATATTGGTGAGTTGCCAAAAAAATGGTTTGCAGTCAACATCATTTTTGTTTTCACAGTGGAGAGCGTCCTCCCATTAATATTTTTGAACATGGTCCGGTCTGGCGAGACACTTTTGTTTTTGTTTATGATTTTTTAATATTTATTTATTTTGAGGTTTTATTGCTGGCTTGGTTGTTTGCCCCATTTTCGATTTCAATTGAAAACGTCTCTCACAAACGACCTGAATGGAGTATTGAAAAAAATAAAAATGTCAAATATGTATTTAACAACTTTGTTATCCATTCGATGTTCGCTCGTGTTTCCACAAAATTCTCAATGCGAAACTGAGTCGAGTGCATGGATGTATATATGTATCTCTAGATTGGCGGATTATTTTTGCATACGAATGATGACTTGATTTTATGGGACATGGGTAAAACCACAAAGAATCGGTCTTCTTTTTGGTTGAGCTATAAACTCTCTGATTACTGGCTTTGAATTCAAATGCATATTATCTGTTTACCTTAGTGTTATTCTTAATATAAAAATAGAAGCAGATATTTTCTTACATTTATTTTGCATTGGAAGTAAGCTCCTAGCGCTAGACAATATATAACTGAACGGAGGCATTGCGATTTAGAAAACAATTTTCCTCATTGCATGTTCAGAGATGCATAAATAATTAAAACGTTCGCATTAGTTTTTCATGCAACTCGCATGTTGTCAGCTTGAATTTCAATAAGCATTCTAATTGTTTTTAAGTGTTTTTCCAGCAGCAGCAAAATCCACAACAGTGTGCAGCGCAAATGAGCCGTAATTGCATAATTCTAATTTAGCGTCGAGTCCTGAGCACCAAAAACATGTTGACTACAATTTATGCATGTTCGTGTGTGGGTGAATGTCATTTGTGTGTGTGATGGCTGGGTGGACTTGAACTAGTGTGCAGGCCAGTATTTTACAGGATAGTGTGTGTGTGGGCCACCTACTCACTCATTTTACTTAATAACTCACTGAAAGTGCAGGTTGCTGCTGCACAGGAGTTCAAGTTTGTCGACGAAAATGGGTGACTGTAGGTGGGATAAATGCCGTAATTGAGGGGGAAGGAATGGGTATCAGGAGGAGGTGGGCTGGGTGTCGGGACAGAGTCGGTAAAGTTTAACGTACTCAGGTGTCGGAAGTGGCTAAAGGGTTTCGGAACGTGGATTGAAAGCTTAAAATAATATAAAAGTATTAACTGTAGGGTCAAAAATAAGATTTCAGAAAATAATAAAATAAAAATTATTAAACAATTTGTCTAATATACAATTTATTTAAAACTCATATTTAGTAAGTTACTTTTTAGGCTTACTTTATAAGTTGATCTTAATTATGACTTCCTTCCTAAAAGATTAACTATAAGTGTGACACAAGCTATTTAAATTCTCAGTCACCTGAGACCCAAAATGAACGAATTTTAATATGAATGCATATCCCCACACAAACACACAGAAATGTGAATGCTTTTGTGGGCAAGTGTGTATTTAAATCCTTATTGCGACACCTGCACAAAGCAAATACCAATTAAAGGCTTTTCACATGCAGACCCATGCCAACTTTGGATCAGCCGAGTGGTTGGGTGGGGCTCTGGGCGGTGGGAAATGTGTGTGCATGTGGGTAAGAAGTCGGCACTTGTATGCCATTAAGTTGGGCTTGACGGTAGGTTCGGTCTATTGCACTGAAAGAAGTCTTAAAGCATTCGGCTACAGTTTTAAGTATTTAAGTCGAAGGTTTCTAATATAAAGAATAATAAATTACAATTTGTTTTTTACTTTTCATTATATTTCATTTTATAATATATTTCATTATTAATTTAATATTTAGCAGTGCACTTACATCCACTCAAAACGGACAGCAATCGAAATTAGCCAACGAGCAGCTAACCGTTTCGTGCCTGCCCAAGACCAATTTATTTGGTTTGGTCAGTCCAACACGAAGGCCCCTGCTCTGCGATCGGCTTATAGAACGTCTCCGGCGGAACACTAACCAAAAGACATGGCCCAACACTTGGATGTGATTGGCGGGGACCAAAAGGAGCCACGACATTACGGCAAGCTCTTCTGGAGGTTTGTTACCTACTTAAAGGATTACTGTGCCAATTGTACTTTGGCCGGCTTTGCCTATATTGCCAATCACAGGTAGACTTTTAAGTGGATATCACTCAGGTGTCAAAACCAGTTCTTCAACAATTGCAGGCTGCATCCCACGGAACGAATTTTTTGGCTATTTTGTGTGATGGTTTCGTCTTTCGGTTGCTATTGGCTAATTAGAGAATATCAAGACAGTTTCCCAACCAGAGCCGTTAGCATTGTCTATGAGAGCTTGCCGCCCTTTTCCAAGTGGAAATTTCCTACCGTCAGCGTTTGCGAAGTTGTCTACAAATATCAAATGGGCACAAAGGTGGAGGAATATGTCGAAAGGTTCGGATAAACCAGAGTTTGAAAAGTTATTTTTACAAGCAAAGTTGTTGCTTTTATTTCGGCAGCTTGGGCGGCGATGCAGATGGAGGATATAATTATGAAATAGAGACCTATGTGTCATATCTTTTATTTCCTCATCAATATCATGAGGGAAACATAAGAGGTCACTGTAATCCGATTCCCAATTGTCCGCAATGCGGTCAGTGTCCCAAGGATAATAATCGTCAAATTCTCACATGGGTAGGTAAGGTTCTTTGGGCTTTGAGTCTCTTTAAAAAATTTTTTTTTTTTGTCAGTATGGATCCAATTGTACAGACATGTTTCAGGAATGTCGCCTTTCAGACAAAGTATTCGACTGTTGTCGTTACTTCTTGCCTTTAATCACTCCTTACGGTCGTTGCTTCATGTTGAACTCTCTTCAAAATAATCGTCATGGCTCGAAGAACTGGCTACCCACAGACTTGGATCCCGCCAACCAGCTGGCGAAGATGCAGTTGATCACCAAATTGCCGGTTCAGGTGAATCTAATGAACGCAGAGGATATTCCGCACACAGCTCTTTCCCCGATCGGAGTCACGGTTACGGATCCGGGACAGCACAAGCTGTTTCAGTTCCACCGGGAGACCATGGAAAATGATCCAGATGTCGTTGAGATTCCACCAAAGATTCGAAGCTGCCTCTTTCCAGAGGAGAATCTACCGTCCAGCGTTTATCGGGCCTACAGCTTCAGTACCTGTATCACCGATTGCACCAGAAACTTCCAGATGGAGAAGTGCAATTGCACCCACTTTATTATGAACCCCATGTCCGATCCACGCTATCCTGACTGCGACTTGGATGGTCTTTACTGTCTGGAGATAAACAATGTGGTGAAGCCGGATGGTAAACTCCTCTTGAACAATAACAAGGGCTATAAGGAGAGTTGTGGCTGTCTGCCATCCTGCAATGATGGCGATATTCAAGCGGTTTATGAAGCGATTTCAGTGTACGTTTTTTTATATTAAAAAAATTTTTTTAAAATTTATTATTATTATTATATTTAATAGATTTGATAAAAGCACCACGACACGTAACATAACACTGGTCATGCCCGCCCTCCCAACTGATCAGTATCGCCGGCAGGCTCTGCGTACCAATCTGGATGTAGTAGTTTCCATGGGCGGCATGCTGGGCCTTTTCCTGGGCGCCAGTATCTTAAGTGGAATCGAATTTATATACTATTTTACAGTGAGAGCCTATAACAATGCACGGCAAGAACATGAAGCTCATGAGTAATGGTATACTGCCAAGCAGATGTTAAAATTTTATTGAAGTTTATTAACTTTTTAAAATTTCTTCAATTAATTTGTTTCTATAAAAAAAAATTAAACCGCTACCTACTTAACAAATAAATTGCAAAAAAAAAATATTACAATCGGAAGAACAATGTGTAAACTGAATGCCAAGCTCAGAACACTGTCTCCTGGGTCTCGTATATGCCTTGACCTCAGTTCCCAGCGGCGTATGCGCCATTTAAAATTTTATTAAATATTTGCTTGGCTCGGTCACTGCAATGCGCATTAAAAATGCAACCATGGCATGCCGGCCGTCAGGATGCCAAGGATCCTGAAAAGCAATGCCATGCGAGCCAAGTGTGAAACTGAAAATCAATGAAACTCACAATTTGCACAGTCAGCAAACGCCTCTTGGCGACAACTCCACTTTACATATACATGTACCCCTCTATATACTTTCGTATGTATATACTCTTTGAAAATTTGTGTTGTCGTCCCAAATTTGGCCACCTCTCGAGCTTAATAAGTTTTTCATTTGGTTGGCTCATATTGTTTTGTTTTAAATATTTAAAATGCTACAAAAACAGAAGCTGAGTGAAAAAAAAGCAAAAGAAGGAAATGTAATCACATTAATTCTTAGCCAGAGGTCCTTTCTGTGCTCTTTCTTGCCTTTTTTGGTATTGTTTTTTTGGTCACCTCCACAAAGGTTAATTAATTATGCTCTACACCAATTAAGGAGACACGAAATGGGCCTAAGCTTTTAGCAGCTGGTAATTTCGAGTGAAATGGGCTCAAAAAGAATGTGGGCTGGTGTCTAAAGTGGGTAGCTAAGGACATAAGAGAAGGATATTTTGAACTAATTAAAAATTAATTGAAAAATTGGAACCAAACCTAATGGAAATTCTAATTCTCAATTTTATATTTCTTGAAAAGTGTATGCATTTGAAATACTAATGAAATTGTAATTTCAGTTCAGAAAAGAAGTATTTAACCGCAAAAGCCACAAATAAAGATGTCATCTTATTCTCACTCATAAATTTTATTCCAGCATTCTTTGAAAAGTTCTTTCCTTTTCATTTGCTTGACCCTTTTTATTAAACGCATTCATATTTATTGTACATTTGTGTTTGGTTTATGATGGAAAAATCCTCGGCACTCACTCAAAGGCTTTGACCGAGCAGAAGGCGTCCAGAGGAGCGGTTGGAGGTCAAACGAATTGCCAACCCGATTGCAGTGAAAGTGTAACGCCAGCAACAATGTTAACTGTATCTGTCCAGAAAAAGTTTGCTAGCAAACATTGTTGTAGCACTGGAATGGTGTTCGTTGTTGTTGGATATATCATTTATCAAGCTCAGCGAAAAAAGGAAAAATGACGGAAGGCATGAAGAAAAAAACTAAAACAGAAATAAGGAAACGAGAACATTTTTGTCATGTTAAACTGTCAGAGTGCGCATTTAGTCATTACTTACATTTTCTGCTTTTCCGCTCGCACTTTTCCAACGCTTTCCATTCCACTCTTTCCCGCTGTCAGTCTTATGCAAACTTATGCACACACATATACAACTCGGTTCAAGTTTTTAGTATTTATTCGGAACGAAACCAAATATATTAAAAACAAACAAGATTGAAAATTTTAATTTTTTAAGTTTGACTACCTAAAAATATATAATTTTTATTACTTAAATAATTCAAATAACTATTACTTTAGCCTCCATTGTTTGTAGAAGTGAAACACGCACACCTACACACGTCACACACTTGCGCGATGTAATTAAAAGTTGCCATGCAAGTCTGCGGCTGAGCTTGGCCATTAGCATAACGCTGAAAAGTATGCTATGTATAATTTAAATGAAACACCGCATCGCCATTTATCAAAACAGCTCGCAAAATGTTAATTATTATGTTTTATTGCCCCGAAAGTCAGTGTCGCTCCACGACACCACCTCGCCCCCTCGACTCCTTACGTGATTTTATTTTTGCGTTCGCCTGTGATTTGGCCGGACAGTTTGAAATATGCTGCCGGCATGTGGTCGGTTGACCGGGCCAAAACCAGAATTGCCGGGAACTTAAATCATTCGCCGGCTGACAGCCACATACAGCACTGATATACGGAGGCCAGACTTTTATATGCATACAAAATATAATTTTATAATGCTTTCCGGTCATTGGTTTAAGCGGCGCCAAAGTCAAGTGTTCGTGGGAAAGAAAGTGTCTGGACGAGGAGTTCAAAATAATTAAAATTCAAATAACTTCATTAAAATTTAATTCGAGTGCCAGGGAATAGCCAGTAAGTGGGAATGCTCTTGGCTGCATTTCAATTGCAGCAATTGCGATTGCCAGTGCCAATGGGAAACGCTAAAATAAGCAATTGCCAGGCACCTTCAGCAAAGAAATCGAGTCAAGAAAGGTAAAGCGAAACGACGGAAAACTTCAGTTTTCTTTCTCTGCTGGTGGCAGAGGAAATGGTAACTATTTTTCAATTACCTTCTTTGCACGCACGTTTGCTTAGCATTCGGCTCCTTTGAGCAGGATATTTGCCAGAGATGCTGTAACGAATTGGGTAACTTTATAGCTGGTTAAATTATGAGTACTATCTTTATATAAGAACTTATTTTTTTATGGGGAAATAAATTATAATTGGAATGTTTCCCCCTTTGGAAAATTTTGAAATCTCTTTTAATGAACAGCACTCTAAATGGTTTGTGAATATCAATTTCGTCTAAATAAACATCAGCCAATTGTTATTCCAGCTATTCATTTTCCTATTTATTTTCAATTGAATTTTTTGTGCCATCTCAGTGCACGAGGCATGTTTCAAATGCCTGCCACAGATACACTCTCGGTGGCACACATGGACTCGGTTGAGTATGTTAAGTATTTGTAGTTAGTAGTTTTTCAATCAGCATGCCACGCCCACATTTCCACAACAACGGAAGCAGCCCAGGAACTCCCCCGGCTGCATGGCTTAGTCCTTACAAAAGCCTTCTCCTCGTGTTTTTTTTGCTCCCTTTTAAATTTCCCCTAAGCGGAAATCTATTTAAATTGAATTCTATTCTTCGGCCCTGCAACTCATGCTGAGGTGCATCCCTTTCTGCAAGAATCTAGCTCTCCTTGGACCGAAGTTTGAAAAGTTTTCGCTCAGCAGATCGCTCTGTACGCATTGAGAATTATATTAAATCCATGGCTGGCATTTCCATTTCAATGGATAATCATTATAAGAGTGAGCTGATGTTTCTTCATGAGCTTCTTCAGCTGCTGTTCTCTGTTGCTGACGGCACTTGCTGCCATTGCTGCATTGTTGCTATGGAAGCCATTTTGCAGCACATGGCCACCCATACTATATAACTTAAATGGAAAAATATGGATATGAGTGCCTCGCACACATGCTTATGGGTATTATGCATTTTTCACACATTTGTGTAGCATTTGATTGTGCTTCGTCTAGGTGTAAATACTTGCCTCTGGCATTTGCACAATGTTGCACAACGCAGCGTATAAGTAATATTTATTCACGCTCTGCCTTTGTCTGCCCTGACGGTATTTGTGAGTGTGGCAGTGTGTGCACTGAGGCATTCAGCATATGCCAAGCATAAACATAAGCAGGAAATTCATTTTTCATTTGTTTGCTCAAAAAGTTCTCAGTTCCCACTTCCCAGTTCCCGGATCCGAGCTCTGAGTTTTGAGAGCTGAGCGATAAAGATGCTGCTGCTATCGCTGCCACTACTACTGCCTCTGCATTATAAATATTCATCATACGCCAGGATGCCCGAGCAGAGCACTTATTATACACAAATTAAGGCAAAGGCTTGAATTTCTTTATTTTTTGTTATTTCGGTAGCTAGCTGCTCGGGGAAACCGACGCCCGAAAACAAATTTGAAATTCCAACTAACGCCCGACGCGTTGAGTGAAAATGCATCGCAATTTGCTTTGCCAAGGCAGTTCGACGGCCTTTCTAGCCGCGGTAACTACACACAAAAAAATGGGTTTAAATGGATTGATATCTTTTTTAGAGCGATTTGTAGATTCTGGAGATCATAAGTAAGTATCTAAAGGCTTATAAAAAGTACATATAGTACTTGTAAATCAACGTTAACTTTTTAATACTATTTCTTACTAAATGGTGTAAGGAAATAATGTTATGAATAGTCTAAACTCTATCTAGTGGAAATCCTAAACGAGATCCTTTTTGCTATTAATACTTATTATTTATCTTATCATTATTTATTTGTAGATGTGTTCATTTTTTGTCTGTCCCCTTCGGTGTTGTTCAGAAGGCCATAAAACATCAGCTGTTTAACGCACGGCATTTTGCAAATTTATGTCTTCAAAAGAGTTGCACAGGCACACGTCTTACGCCTCTCCCCGCTATGCATATATGTATACTTTATATGAGAAATATGAATACATGGCAAAGTTTATAGTGCGCGTATGCATAGAAGTCGGGTTGGGTCCTTGAGACGAGCCGTCTGCCTGCTTGTATCCTGCCCGTTGGCTGATGGCAAAGTGCACGGCTTGTTTTGGCAAGTGTTTTTTCAGCGGAAAGGGGGGAGATGTTCTTGCTGCCAAAAAGAGTTGAATGGCTCTAGCTGCTCCGCGACGAGATGAATAACTTGGCCGGGATTTGGGGCTGTTATCTTGAGCCTTGGCTGTTGCTAAAGTGGTTAGTTTGCTCTACTAAAAACTCTAACAGCGCTCTCAAAATATTGACTACTTTTGAATATATTGTTAGCCACTTGAGCGAGAAACGCCAAAAGTTTAGGTCTGAAATCAGGGAAACTCGTGTCTTTTATGGTGCATTATATAAGTTAACCTAAGGTATGTGTATTATTATATTTTCCAAATTAAGAAAGCCTGTAATGGCTTTTTCCATGGCCTCTGGCCTGACAGTATACTGTTTGCTTAATCGTTTGAGGCCCTGTTAGAGAAAAAATATTGTCACACGCCGTAAACATTGCAAAATATTTTCATGGGGAAGCCAATCTTATCGCCACGGCTATTAA